TCTTCCACCTCCCGCGGACGCACACGTCTGACGACAGTTACATCTATCAGCTGTCGCTCGTTTTAGCGACAGCTACTATATCTTTTATTTTCATGCCCCACCTTCCTCGTGCGGTGCGTGCTGACTTCTATTTTTATCGCGAGAAGGGTCCAGCCGTCCCTTTCCCTCGTCAACGGTGCTAACGTCGAAGTTTAGTACTCACGAGAGCTTTTTAGCTATATTTTGCTTTCACCCGCAAATTTCGTAAATTTTTCACCCCATGGGGATCCGAACTCACAACCTCTGCGACTAACGGATTACGAGGATACCACTAGACCACCGGGGCGACCGGTCCGGTGTACTGGGTCATGATGATGCCGGGGTTAGGATTCACCCACATGTGCCACTACTTGTTGAATACACCACCTGCAGCGAATCTGGACATGTGAAACTCGTCTGCTAATGACATCACCGTTTCGCTGGGGCACTGGCGCCACTGCCGCTACCATCAGCCCGCTGCCGCATGCAGGCACGAAGGCAATGGTCGGGCTTGGTGGTTGCTGTCGCACGATGTACACCAGCATCTAAGATAGTCAATGTAAGCAGTACACAATCTACCAAATCTACCAATACATCGGCACCACACCTTCTTGGCCACTGATCTGAGAACCCACACTGGCGGTTTACTGGAGGCTTCGAACCTCCATACTTGTTGAAACGAACCCGCCAGCCTCGTGAGGTTACATCGACCCAGCACCATCGAGGCCACGTGACGTGGTTGTCGTGCAAGTGAGGCGTGCAATGTGATGAGAGAGGTGCTCCTGGTGCCCTGGTGACAAAAAACAAAATTCTCAAAATGCGGCGTAATCGGGGAGTCCGTGGATCGTTTCATGAGGGGGTAACCTCAGCCTGTCTGCACGCTGCCGTGTAACATTTGATTCATACGCCATCACACAGGTGACGCACGCGTGCAGCAGTGCAGCATGGGTTGGCTACTGGCGTTCGGCCTAGGTGGATTGGCGCTTGAAGGTGAATTTCTGCTACTAGTGCTGCTGCCTTCGACGTAGCGCACGGCATCGAGCTCATTGGCTGTGTCTTGGTTGAGGAGGACGACACACATGAACCACCTCCTGTTTTTTTTCGATGACGATCTTTCTGTTCCCATACATGTACGCCAACGTCATCCTCACAAGTGCGCGCCTAGCTCCTACGTACTGACCCCCGCCCTCGGCAACCCACCCTCGCCAACGACGCCTGTCAACACCTTCCTCTTGCAGCTAGCTAACCTGCAGTTTGTCCCGTACCTTTCTTGCCATTTCGACCGAAAAACCTTTTGAACTGCTGTACTGCTGTGCGATAGGCGCTAGCGGGTTCACGCTCCTGCCACGCCTTCTTCGGGAGAAGGCGACGTCACGGCCGTTTGTTCCTCCATCCAGCAGCAGCAGCAGCGTGGCAACAACCGGCGGCAGGGATAACAGCCTGACCGGAGAAGTGTGTAGCACGAACGCCGTCGCGGCCGCTACTGTCTGCAGCTCTAGGAACAACAAGCGCAGGTCGAAGGCGGTTTTTCCGCTGCCTGCCACAAAGGCAACAGATCTGCCCTCGTTTGCCTCGTCGGGGGATGGCGACAACGACAAGGCGGAAAAGGGTGGCAAGGAGGGGTCGGGTGACGCGGCAGAGGAGAAGGAAGAAGTAGAGGCTGCCGCGAAGCCAGTGGTGGATGCTGATGAAAAGCCGGAGGCGGCGGCGGAGGACAAGAAGAAGGACGTCGAGGAGGTCGCCGCCCCCTCTCCGCCAGATGCCACAGCAGCAGACTCGCCTTCGCCCAACGGCGAGAACGCGGAGAAGAAAGAGGGAGAGGGTGACCCAGCGCCAGCAGAGGGGGGGAACAAGAAAGAAGAGAAGGACCCCACAGCGACGGCTTCGCCCTTGCCGACGATCGACGTACCGCCCTTGCCAGCGGTCTCCGCCCCGCCGCCGCCAAACACCGGCAAGGTCTCCGCTCCGCCGTCACCAAACAGTGGGAAGGTCTCTGCTCCGCCATCGCCCAACAGACCAAAACCTGTGGTATCAGAGGAGAAGAAGGACGAGAAGAAGGAGGAGGCAGCCCCTACGGCTACGTCGTCGCCGTTGCCAGCGGTCTCCGCCCCGCCGCCGCCAAACACCGGCAAGGTCTCCGCTCCGCCGTCACCAAACAGTGGGAAGGTCTCTGCTCCGCCATCGCCCAACAGACCAAAACCTGTGGTATCAGAGGAGAAGAAGGACGAGAAGAAGGAGGAGGCAGCCCCTACGGCTACGTCGTCGCCGTTGCCAGCGGTCTCCGCCCCGCCGCCGCCAAACACCGGCAAGGTCTCCGCTCCGCCGTCACCAAACAGTGGGAAGGTCTCTGCACCGCCATCGCCCAACAGCCCGAAACCTGTGGCAGCAGAGGAGAAGAAGGAGGAAGAGAAGGAGGAGAAGACAGAGGAGAAGAAGGAGGCAACCTCCACGGCTACGTCTTCTCCGTTGCCAGCGGTCTCTGCTCCACCCCCGCCGAACACTGGGAAGGTCTCCGCTCCGCCGTCCCCAAACAGTGGTCTATCCGCTCCGCCGTCGCCGAACACCCCGAAGGAGGAGAAGAAGGAAGAGAAGGAGGAGAAGAAGGAAGAGAAGGAAGAGAAGAAGGGGGAGAAGGTTGAGGAGAAGAAGGAGAAGGAGGAAGACACGAAGGAGGAGAAGGAGGAAGATAAGACGGAGGAGAAGGAGGAAGATAAGACGGAGGAGAAGAAGGAGAAGAAGGAAGACAAGAAGGAAGACAAGAAGGAGGAGAAGAAGGAGGGAGACAAGAAGGAGGAGAAGGTTGAGGAGAAGGAAAAGAAGGAGGACAAGAAGGAGGACAAGAAGGAAGACAAGAAGGAGGATAAGAAGGAGGACAAGAAGGAAGACAAGAAGGAGGACAAGAAGGAAGCCAAGAAGGAAGACAAGAAGGAGGACAAGAAGGAGGACAAGAAGGAGGACAAGAAGGAAGACAAGAAGGAGGACAAGAAGGAAGACAAGAAGGAAGACAAGAAGGAGGATAAGAAGGAGGACAAGAAGGAAGACAAGAAGGAGGACAAGAAGGAAGCCAAGAAGGAAGACAAGAAGGAGGACAAGAAGGAGGACAAGAAGGAGGACAAGAAGGAAGACAAGAAGGAGGACAAGAAGGAAGACAAGAAGGAGGACAAGAAGGAGGCAGAGGTCGCTTCTATCCCGCCCGTGTCAGCGGTCTCTGCTCCACCTTTGCCGAACAGTGGAGTATCCGCTCCGCCGCCGCCGAACACGGGAGGGGTATCGGCTCCGCCGTCGCCGAACAGCCCGAAGACAGTGGTGGCGGAGGAGAAGAAGGAAGAGAAGGAGGAGAAGAAGGAAGAGAAGGAGGAGGAGAAGAAGGAGGAAAAGGAAGACAAGAAGGAGGAGAAGAAGGACGACAAGAAGGAGGAGAAGAAGGAAGACAAGAAGGAGGAAAACAAGGAAGACAAGAAGGAGGAGAAGGTCGAGATCAAGGGGAGCGGGAAGGTGGCGTCGCAGGACGATGACCAGCTGACGCCTCTGGACATGCTTGTCGGGCCGTTCATAGTGTTCGCCACCGGTATGCAGAAAGAGGTGAGTATTTGTTGACTGCAGTGTAGTAGTCACCTACTTGTCCTGTCCGTGAGTTGGCCAAGTGTGGGGGGAGGAGGAGGAGCGGGCAAGGTTTCCGTACATATCGGTCATAGGCGTTGCGTGGGCTGGCCGCAAATTGTTTCGGGTTTTTTTCTGTTGCGTGTGTGTGGCTTGGTGTGCAGCTGTGCGGGGTGCTTCCGTCGTCGCGCGCTTTGCATGGTGACGTCGCTGAACACCTCTTGACACTAACTGCTTGTTTGGTACTACTGATTGGCAGTGCGTAAAGCACAACATGACGCCTTGCGGCGATGGACATGTTAGCAACGATTACCAAACCAATAAAATCAGTCAGTCAGCGCTGATTGGTCCGATGGTTGATTTTCGTTCCTAAAACATGATAGTGCCTCCTTTCTAAGTTCTCTCTCTACTCGCTCCATTGCTTGGTTGTCGAGCCCAAATGCGATATTGTATGCATACGTAGTGCCTGGCGGGTGTCCATGATATCGTGGCATGTCGTATTTTTCTATCCCAATGAGTGAATGGCGACAAGACAACACCATTGTTCGGACCTCCCTGAGCTATGGTTGGTTGTCCCTCCAATGCAGCATCCTGAATCTAACCCTTAACCATCAATCAATACAGTCCAGAACCTCCCTGAGACTATCTTAATCGTTGGTTGTCCCTTCAATGCAGCACGCTGAATCCAACTCTCATGTTTTATTTATTTCTCTCCCCGACTGCAGGCCGAGTTCTTGGAGGGTGAGCTGAACCAGCGGGTTTCGCAAGTTACGGCCGAGTTCCAGGCGGACCGCAAAAACATGGAGGAGACCCTCAGAGAGGTATGTGTGCACACGCACGGCATGGCGGTGACGTCTACAGTTGGTCGATAGATCAATGGGTTCATCTTATTGGTCCATTTGCAATATAGCGATGCCCCCTCTCCCACCCCCGACCAAAACGAGTAATTCCTTCTCCACGGCTGGGAGCTCGTGTGCCGTGTTTGTTGACGTTCGACTTCCGCCTGTTGGCGTCAAGTGGCTTGACGTGTCGTGGGGGTGTTTGCAATTTCATCAATGTCATGCTTTCCGAACACATCTCCGATGCTCTTGCGTGTTGTTGTACGGAAGTAACGGTCAGAGGGAAGCGTCGACCGTCCTCGAACTCTCCGAAAATCTTCCTCCAGTTTGCGCTTGAAATGGTCTTCCTAGGTACTGCTGTTGGGTTGCCGAAGCGGAACAGCACTTGATATTCTCGTTCCCTGATCACGCGTCAGTTCTGCGTCTCGGACGCACGGTTCAACCATGTACCGTTGTAGCAGGCTTTTTTTGCCGACAACGTCGCAACAGCTTCTCCGGGAGTTTTTGTGCTTCTACGACATCTACTACATCTACGGCGAGCACCATCCCGATACGTTGCATGCAGGGCAGGCATTATCGGGCCAACATCAGTGATACGCTCGGAAAAATGCGTAGGTACAAATTTGATTTCTCGTCTCTTACTCTGCGAGCGCATTCGTGCTATCCCTCCCCTTCCTCCCCCACAATTTTTCGTTGTCCGGTATGTCGGTGGGAAAACAATCAGGCCGAGGAGCAGCTGAAACGTCTCCAGGGGGTGGCGGCAGAGAAGAAGAAGGCGGAAGAGAGCGCGAGGAAGGTCAAGGCGGAGGCTGACGAAGCCGCGGCAGGTGCGTTGAGCGTTGGCGGAAGGCAAAGCAGCAGACCCATACGACATGCAGACGGATGGATACATGTACGGGGCTTTGACTGTGCTGGAAGCGTGTGTGTCGGCGCTGGAAGTAACGCCGGGAGATCTCCTTCAGTGGCGGCGTTGCGCATTGCACATCGGGGAGGGTGAAATCCGCTCAGCGCTGCCTGCGACCGGGTGCCGTCCTCCTCATCGTTACGCTGTGCGGGCTCCGGGGGATCCAAGAAGAACTGGCAGGATGACGAGATCGTTGGTGTGCATGATTGCCGCATGAGCTGGGCACGCCAAACGGTATTGCGCAGTAGCCCAGCTCATGCGGGGATGATGCACACCAAAGACCTCGTCATCCTGCCAGTTCTTCTTGGATCCCCCGGAGCCCGCACAGCGTGACGATGAGGAGGACGGCACCCAGTCGCAGGCAGCGAGGAGCGGGGTCGTAGCCGGTAGGAGACAGCACCTCTCTCTTCCGGTAGACTGGCGTTGTATCGTGTGGGCCGCCACGTGTTGAACCCGTCGCAGACGACAGCCCTTGCTCACGCCACCTGCACCTGCTTGTACGACCCCCCCCCCCCCCCCCCCCCCCCCCCCCCCCCCCCCCCCCCCCCCCCCCCCCCCCCCCCCCCCCCCCCCCCCCCCCC